CTTGTTGAGTCATTACGGGGAAATCAATATTAAATGTAGGTTTTCTGTAGCGAAGACCAATCTTAATGCTATAACCGTCAATCATTGCCAAAAAGTAAATGAAATTTGGCATTTAGTCGTTAGCAGTATTAGATTGTTGACCTTAGGACATTTCAATAAAATTTTAAAAAGAAACAAAATGAAGTAGAGATATGGAAAAACAAAAACACTGATTAATCACCTGTATAAAAGGAGAAATTAGGAATTCTTGTTTGCATATAATTTCACATATACAGCATTTATTGATTGATTATCAAAAAACACTTAACAAGACTTTTTTAATTTTTATTTTTGACTGCTATTTCAGACAGAAAGTTTCAAGGAAAAAATTTCTAACCACATTTATTAAATATAACACACTAATTTACCAAACTTATTTAATCATCACTAAAGTGCCCAACAAACATATAAATATAACAATCAAATCTTAATGGTAAAACTTGTGACAAAATTTAAAGTCTTTTAATTTAAACTAAAAACCTCCTTTAAAGAAAAGAATTTTAAAAGGTAGTATAACGGAGAGATTGATTACTAAAGACTGTATCTGGCTAATTTTACAGCTTATCGTAATGGGTATCCAAACCTTAAGTTAGGTGGATACTCAAAAGCTCACATTGCCTGCACGGGGAAACAAAAAAAAAAGGGTGGCACTGCACATGTAGCTCTCCGGACTGTCATACATATTTTTTTCGGAGAACTACATGAACAGTTCTGCAGCTAACATATGTAAAGACTTATTTTCTGAACATTTTGCAAATACAGTAAAGAAATAATAAAATTATAATCTCCGATTATACGACAATAAAACAAGAATTTTCAGATTTATTCCTTAAGGATATATATGTTAATAACACACTAGAATATTGAGAAATTTTAGCGAGGATTTAATTTTTGCATTGTTAGCGAGGGTGTCAAGATCGCTAAAATTGAATGTCACTAAAAATTAATTGTGCTTTATTTGTAATAGCTTCTTTAGACAGCTTTTTAAAATCGCTAAAATTACATCTCGCTAAAAATAAAATACCAATTTTTAAGGACAAATCGCTAAATTTGCGTCTCGCTAAAATTTCTACTTATACGGTATTTATTGCGCACAAAAAGTTGCGCTTAGTTCTGGATTTCTTCTTCCAAATTCTTGCCTCAATCGCGATCAAGATAGATTTTTTTAAAAAAATCCTTACTCATCTATGTAGTACTCTCGTAGTTGATATCTGCACGAAGTGCATTGGGCCGAATTATCTTGCAAACCAAAATGACAGCATATTAAAAAGACAAAATTTTCGATGATCTCAATTTCAGCACCAGGAGGGCTATTAACAACAATTATAAGGAATGTTTTGTTATTGTAACAGTGAAAGAATACGTTAGGAACACACTGTTAGTAATATTTTGAGATGACGGTTTAAAAACATGGAGAGATAAATCGAGAATTTATTATTAGAATCATTATTGTTCGTGGAGGACCAATGTTCGAGGTTAACCCTGACCCACCAATTCACATCCACACGAACGTATATACAAACATTTGTTTTATTATGTATTTAAGTTACGAAAACGAAAAAGAACTTATCCACGAAATTTCGTCCCCACGAACCAGAACGTTTTTCAATTGGCTACCCACGAACGTTGACCCCCACGAATAAAAATGATACCAAGTAAACAGCGCACTTTTTTTGCGCAATAAATACAAGTTTTTTCAATGGGTGGCACTGTTGCTCTGCGGTCTGTGAAAATATTTTTTTAGAGAGCTACAGTTCTGCAGCTAAACATATGTACATGTATAAATTGATTTGATTTCAACATTTTTCATTTCCTACAAGCTTTTTTGTGAGCATTTTAAAAAATTTACTGTATACAAAGAAATTTTCGCCCCGTTTTATTTTCGCCCCTTTCGCCCTACCCACAGGTGGGCGAATTTAAAACGGAGCGAATTAAAAATACACAGCTTGATTTCTTAAACAGAATTGTAACTGGGCGAATTTAAAACAGGACAAAATTGTTTCCAAATGTGAGAGGGCGAAAATAAAACGGAGCGAAAATAACCCTGTATACAGTATATACATTTACCAATATTTTTTTTCTTATTGAAACTAATAAAATTGACATTCAATTTTCAATGGCATGAAGTTTGTAAACTCATTCTTGCGCATTAAATGGAAAGTGCGAGAGACATTTCGATGGTTTTGACTCAAATCACTCAAATCACACGACGCTGTACGTCTTGTTATGTCTTGTTACAATAAGAAGGCATTTTTCTTTGCAAACGAATAAATATTAATAGTCAATTTTTGTATGAAAATTAGATTTAAATTATTAATTTCATTCGAATTTGATATGGAGTTGGTAAGTGATCGTTGAAAAAAAATCTAAGGCCATCTTTAAAATAACATTTGCTTGCCCTCTCCCGACTGAGGGTAAAACTTGGGTCGGTAGGTAGGCGGGAAAATCTATTTTTTTTTATTATTCTATAAGCATTTAGTTTTCATTTTGTTAGCTCAAGGAATATTGCATCTAGTAAGTTCGCAAGTGGAGAGCACTTTTTAAAAATTGACGATTATGCATGTTGACACAAATGTTTTACTCAGGAAAATTGACGCCTGATTGAATGACAAAGAAAAAATATTATCTGACCGAATTTTAAAAAAATATCCGGTACCACCGACCATAAATTTTGTTAATAACGAAATATAATCATGTACAGCAATTCATATTAAAGATGACCTCTGTCGAAACGACCTGCGTGTATTAGATTAATTCATCATTTTCCTTGTTGGGAGGTCCTTATTTAGATTTCTCAAAGGTAATGAACGTAATTTACAGCCTCTTAAATTTTAATTATTACATAACGTTGGCCTTGGTACCACGTTGTACTTTTAATGATACATCTCTCGAATTTGTGCCAATTTTTTGTACAAAATGATTGATACATTGCAAAACTGGAGGATGTCATGAAAGGAAAATCAGATGTTCATCGATATGTGAAAATATGTAGCCTCTGACAAGAATGGGTCACTATTCTATTTATTGAAAGAAATTTCACTTCAGCTTGAAAGACTTTCTAAGTCTAATTTTAAAAGGATTATCCATAAACCGATTACTAAAACATATTGATGTTTTTGGACAGATATAAGGTTTGATAATCTGTAGAGGTACAGTGTAATCATAATAAAAACATATCAAAAACAAGGACAGCTGAAGAACACACAGAAGAAGTGACGACATAGGGATTGTTGAGTCTGTTGTTTGTCTGTTACAGATCCCTCCCAAATTTTTTTTTTGTTTTTTTTTTTTTTTTCTGAGAATTTGTTTTCTGCGAATTTACACTTTGATTTTGATGAATAGTCCTGTTATTAACGAGTACACATTTGTGAAAAAAAAATAATTTAAAATTAATTCAACTTGTTCTTTTTGAAAGTTTTGCCATGTCGATGATGAATTATCAACTTAAAAATTCCACAAAATTCTCACAAATTTGTATTTGGTTTTCAGTTGATATATGAAAAATTAATAACGAACAGTTATCTAGAGCAAAAGTTCATTGAAACAATACAAATGGGGAGCAGAGCAGAGTTTAACACAGACCTCTTAAGACATAAAGGTTGGATTAGGTACCATGTAGGAGTAAGCACCCTCTGTTGAGAGGTCACGCCAGCCGTATGCTCCTTGTAATGATGTTATTGCATCGTGTCAGATTTCACCAAAATGCACTTTTTTTAACCATGTTTATCACTAACTATTTTTATGCTCTTTTTCCAAGTGGACTACATGTATTGCAGTCTCTCTTTATTAAAATAAAATACGCAGGAAAAGACCCCTAAATGGTTGATGGCCATGACTGCCGAATAGAGGAGGCTTCAATATTCATCTTTTCACCGACAAGTCGTGGCGTCTCAGTATAAGTGGGAAAAAAATCTCGAAATGAAACTCAACATACAAAAACAAGAAACTGCTACCTACCAAAATGAGTCTGGTAGATGGTCAAGTTTTCCATCGGATGAAAGATTAGTACATTAACTTTAGTTATCAGGATTAGATATGAGATGGATTCCATTTTATTCTACCATGAAAATCATGAAGTAGCATAATGAGAAACCTTTTACATTCCAGATTTAATACGACGCCAGATAAAGTCAAGTTGAATGAAAATATGAGAACATATTTTAACTTTTTTTGAAATAAGAAAATATTTATCTCCTACTCCTAAAAACAACCTACTTTTCTTTTTGACTGTGTGTTTATGAGTGTAGCGATACATGTATTTTATATATTCAATTATTTTACTTTAAGAATTGAAATATGATGACTTGTAAAAGTAATTCCATTGCTTGAAGACATAAAAATCCGATTTATTAATACAATAATCTAGAAAGATGTAAAAATATGATCAAGAATTCCTTCAAATAAATTGAGTTAATTCGCTATGAAAAGATTACTTATTAAATTAACTAATTTCAACCAACTAGGAAATATTGGCATTTAATAACGAGGAATTATTAAAAGATTAAGAAACAATGCTATTATATACCTACAGTACATAGACTGCAACTCACACCAGAACAATGCATATGCAAAGAAAGAATAGAAACCGCGTTTGTCTTAGACCAGTTAACCCCCTATTTGGCGACTGCATGATCTGTAACTGAGATCGGAAAATAACTGAGTCATTTGATAATTAAAACAACAGTATTTAATGACAAATAGTGCAGAGAAAATTGTGTAAAGTTTTACGAATAACAAATTTGTATATTGAAATCTTAGAAAAAGAAAACATAATTTAAAAAACTTTCTTTTGTTTTCATAATGTAAGTACAATGATCCCGATGTTTAAGAACTTGCCTTTATTACCTGATTCCGAGAAAAAAATGTCAATGGTCAAGGTAAAAACTTCTCGCTGTGTAATAACATTTCTTGTTAATTAAACCAACTAGTATAAATATCGGTGCCATGACGTTGAAGAATCATTCAAATCAAACGATTCACTAGAGGACACGCAAGTTTCAACATGGGCAGGACCTTTTTCTTGGTTTTTCTTCTCGTCTCCTGCATGGCTTTAACAGCTGAAGGTTGGTGAATAAGTCCTTTTTATTCTTCACTTGTTAGCATTTCTTATTTCTTTCTTACTTCTAAAATTCTAAATTATCTTTTTTTGTAACATTCCTACCAGGGATATATATTCTGATCATTCCTGCTATTGAAATTCTAAATTTTTTTTCGTTTGCTATCCGGGAAATATAATATATAGTTTTATGTACAGGTGTATTTTTCTTTGTGAAATTAAAAGCGTTATTTGTACTATAAAGGATAAAATCAGTAAAATAAAATAATTTTTATACGAAACTTTTAGCTCGCTGGGGACAAAGTTGTCCGTGGGGTACCTTCCCGACTGGGGCTTCTTGTCACATCTGGCAAGGATGCAGGTTCGGCTACTGTTACGCTCCATGGGGAAAGTGGGGCGTTTGTTGTAAGAGACGTAAGTATTTCTGTTTGACAATAAATATAAGGAAAGATAGGTGAAACATACAGTACGTGAAATTGCTTAATACTAGTCTATCTGCAAAATTAGAACTAAACTATTTTTTTAATGCAACCATTACATGCATGAGCTTTAACCCTCTAATGTTAGAGCTAAAACACTGTATTATGAAGTTTTGTAATATGCATATAAACCACGGGCACTTGTTTCGAAAATAATTTTGAACCCCTAGTTTAATTATTATACTATTATACTAAAGGTTCAATTTTTTTCCGAAACAAGTGCCTAGCTGTGATATAAACTGAAAATGCTGATACTTGTACACGTTTATATGTGTATTCAGTATTATATCATACAATTCGTTACAATATTATAAATGTGCAATCTTTCTCCAAACGACACACAAGCCTACTCAATATATTGAACAGGCATATCCTCGCACATGCGTATCACACTCATACCACACTACTCTTACTCTGTCAGAACGGGTTGTGATCCTTGTAATAGAAATGAGTCCAAATTAACAGTTAGTGTATTATAAGATTTAGAGCCAATTATTTTCATGAAGTCTAGTGTGAACATGCAGGTAAATTGAAACTGAAGCAATTTAAACAATCGTTTAAGAAGCACATTGCACAGAAATATACACGTGTATCTTATTATTCCCCAATCAAAGGGCCGACATACTTTAATTTAAATATAACAAATTAAAATAAAACATTAAATTATTATTTAAAATTGTCATTTATTCATCTTGATTCATTCAAAGACAAATATTATAAGAGAAATGAGTTTTCTGAGAGGTTCACAGAATATTTTTTTTCGCTATGTTTATTTCAAGTGTAATGTTAACAAAAGTTTTTGTATTGGGATTTTCTGTCTTGAAAGACACCTGTACTGTTTCTGAAATGCACACAGATTCAAGTAGTTGCATCTTCCTTTGCAAATGTTGAACCTCATTCAGGAATTTGATATTGAATAGTTTATTCCTTAGTGATGTTGAAACCGAGTTCTTGAATTTTGCCACACATTTTTTTTCTTTTAATCATATTTTCAGGCGGAATATACTGAGTCCTCCAGGGATCACCAGCTTGTTTAACTTGTTAAAGGGTTAGAAAATAAAAGAAAATGGTATTAACATTTTGTTATTATTATTCTTCTTATTACTGTCATGATGTTGCATTAAGTTATAATGAATATTCAAATTTGCGAACTTTCAATTTTACAAATCGCAATTTGAATTTCTATATAAAATATCTTGGGTGTTAGTTTCATACATGTAAACTTATATATTTTTCAATACTTCTACGGCTTAAAGCACTGAACAGTGACAGTCCAGAATACTTTTTAAGATATGCATGCATTTCAAAATATTAACATGCAAGCAGCTAGTCGCTTGCTTTTGTGTCGCTGGTTCGAATCCCACTGTGGGACGTGCAGACCGGTCCTTTGGATGAGACTGTAAACCGAAGTCCCGTGTCGGAGTAAGTACAGTCACAAAAAAGATTGATTGCCGAGAATAGGTCAAAATATACAGCTCTTTACTTACTGAGAAGTTCTTCATCTTTAATTAGTGAAAAATTCTCGAGTATTATCTGATGTTTACATTGTGAGTTTTAGCCACCTTAATAAAATTCCGCAGAATTATTTGTTTTCAAAGATTGTATTTAACTGTTTTGCAGTAATATTTCGGAACTCAATATGCCCAAAAGCACGCAATACGCAAGTTTCGAGATTATCTCCCCTGGTGCGCTCTTTCGTTGAGGAGGGGAGTTTGGTTGCCGCGTAAACAAACAGGTGGGACAGATATTTATTATTGGATATATCGCATCATCGATATACTGGTTTATTATAACTATATAATTGTAAGGATGCACTGTTCAACTCGAGAACAACCGAATTAAAGTAAAGGTGTCATTTTTTAAAGCAAAAAAATTGGAACAAAAAAGAAAATTCAGTGGATGTGAGACTATTCAGACGAGGGAAGAGATGTATGGAAGAGATATAAGGACCTCAAATAAATACTGTAAACATGAATCTGATCATTACATGTCGGCAATCTAAATGACACATTGATTTTTAACCTTATTATAACTTCAAAAAACCCACTAACTTTTTAGAGAATGTTTGTACAATCAAGAAAATCTTTTACTTTTGTGAAGACCACGACGTGTATTTCGTTTTCAAGTTCCCTATAATTGAAAGTAGATTTAAAAATATACACAGTTGAGCTTGATGAAATCATAAAATGCATCACTGATTAACATCTTTATCTTTCTATAACATTAAATAAATTTTAAAAGCCATAGACATCGTTCATTTATTTATGCACGTTTGTATGCAAACTGTCCCACCTCCATGCTGAAATGGATACTTTTTGCGCCTCTATCGCAGGAGAGTTACAATCTCGAAACTGGCGTATTCAATTGCTCTTGCCGGAAATTCTCACAATTAATTTTAAGAAGTAATGCAGATATGCAAATACATGTATGCACTACATAATGACTCATCAAAACGATACCCATCAAAAGCATGTATCACGCATTCTCAATTTATAGTACCAATTCGATCTTGGGAAAAGTCAAAAAATTTAGTGAACTGAAATTAACACTTTTATACGTCATTTGAAACATGAAAGTGTATAGTTATTAAAAATCGCAATTTGATTTACATACTTCATGCTTTGTTTTGTTGGCCTCCTTCGAAATAAAAGTGGTTGGAGGGCAAATTTTTAACCAAGATATTTACGTGATGTTGAAAAGCCATATTTGGAAACGAAAGAATTTTTTTTAAAATACAAAATCAATATAAAACACATCAAATTTTGTTAACTATAAACATTTATGAAACCGTTTAAGCACATTTGTAAAAGGGGTGTAGAATCTTTGATTCAATTATTAGTAAAAATAAAACGGATGTAATTTTCATTTGAATGAAATTATTTTCTTTTTATTTTAGCAAGTTTTATCACATCCGATGATAAGCTTAATAATGACAATATTTCCTAAAATGCTACATTAATTGATTCTTTATTAATCTGCTCAGAGAAACGCACATTATTTAGAATATAAAAAGGTTAAATATTTCGCCATTACCTGATTACGAAGTGTTTGTTAAATATCACGTAAATATCGCACATAGATATCATACAAAAATAAAAGTATATTCGGGGAAAAAATGATTATATTATTTCAAATTATTGAATTTTATGAATTTTCTTATCTATATATACGCTCTTTACAAAGGGTTGAATTGAAAATTTAAGTTATATTCATCTATAGAGGACTCATGTAATTCATAACCCCCCCCCCTTCCACCATTTAATCTGTTGATTATTTCAAAGGCAGCCACGTACATGTAGCATCGTTTTTTAAAGTGTGTGTTGGGGGGGGGGGGCAGCCAGAGAATTTTTTACTTACCTGAAAAGTTGACAAGGCAAAGAAAAATGGGGGTGAGAAAACTTGCACAAAATCGAAAATCCTAGAGGGGGAGGGGAGGCGAACTTTTTTCAATGTCAACTACTTTCAGTACCAATTATTATACTACATTTTCCGTACATCACTATTAGTGGGAGTGGGGGGCAATAAGCCTTCACTGAACATTTACTATAGTTGAAGTAAGGTTGGAGAAAAAAGTGGGGGGGGGGTGCTCTCCCCCCTGTTGCTACATGTCTGAAATGTTTAATTATTTGTGAAAACTTTATCGTCAAATCTCACAAATTAAACAAAGATCACCCACCACCCTTAAAAGGTTTGTCAATAATTAAGTTGCATATCACATGTGCTCTATAGAGCAATATACATTCTATGTTCATATAAAGTAAATTGAATTTTCAGTACCATTAAAGCATAGATGCATACGTTATATGTCTAAGCAATTCCAATGGGAAAATTTGGTGCACAATTTTATACATGTTAATATTTGTATTTCTTGCAAAGCAACAAAAATGGAAATGGATTCAATTTCAACCAGTTTCTTGACACCCAACACCCTCTTTTTTACCCGATGTAGAACACCCCCCCCCCACTGCATGCAACGCAGCGTCTATTTTCTGGAATTATATTTCCTACAAAAATGAATTTTTTTTTCCTTCAAAATGTTAAGCTTGGTATACAATTCAGGTGTATATAACCATTTTTTTAAGTTGACGATACACTATCATTTCAAACAAACAGCAAAATACAGACTTGAAGAAAGTTTTGTTTCAGATTTACGTTCCGAATGATAACGTGCATTACACTTGAAACTATATATATGCAATATAAACCAATTGCTCAAAATGGAAAGATTCAATCATTAAACCACAATTCTACTTGTGAATAATATTATGTCAGTTCAATTTTCAAATCACACGGATGCACAAGATATTGAGTAAAAAATGTTCACCTTTGCATGTGCACTTCAATTTGCATTTCTGCACTCTTGTTACAGAAAAAAAATGACATTTTAAGAAACAGTGTATATTTCTTCATGTTCTTAGTATTTACATCTTAAAGATTCACTCGCAAATCTGTTCAAACAGCTTTGGAAATTAATACTTATTTACTTTAAAACATGGTAACGTAAATATGGGTAACGTAAATATCGGTAACGTAAATATCTTTCTGAGATTTATCGTAACTTTTAATGCCATTGTTCGATTATTCCAGGCATATTCTAGTGCTTGAGTGTAAGGCAATTTGACCCATAGGGAACAGTGTAGTTCTCTTACTTAATTTGTGAATAAATACTAACACGTAAATATCGTTGAATTTTTTAACCATTGGACTTATAAGAAAAGGGGGGCTATTGTTCATAAATACAGATAAAGAATGTCCTTTTTACCATTCCATGCAATAGAAGAGGTGTTCATGATGTTAAAAAGTTACAACTTAGTCCTATTGAGTCAGTTTATCAATCCTTCCAGTCCTTTTGAATTTCCAAAAAGAAAAGTAATAATTCTGCGGTGACATCAAAATTTGATAAATAAATTAAAACTTTTAAAAAATTGTGACACGCATATGTGTGAAGGGTGTGACATTCAGAAAATATAACTCAAATGTAGGACAATCTTACTAAGAAAACGATATGTAAATGATTTAAAACTTCTTTTTGGTTTAAAATAAAAACTACACGATGATCGGCGACAGTAACGTAAATATCGATTTCTGCTATAAAATGTGATTTTCTCCTAAGACAATCATTCAAACTACAACAAACAATTGTTGCATTTTAATCAACAACCAACAATGGTTCATATGAGTGGCAGAAAATAAAATTTATTTGAAATATTATATTACTTAAAACGCGGTACATTATTTAAAGCGAATTGAGACTATAAATTGAGAACGCGTGGTATATGATGTATAACAATGTTTGGCCCGAAAGTCTAAGGATTACTACAATGCGCCAAGATGGAAAAATACGAATACAGAATCTAAAAAAACAGGCACATAAAAGTTTTGCCTACATCAAGAGATTGTTTAAAACCGCTATTATAGGAATCGTGCATAGCGGACTTACACTGTAACTGAATGATCCGAGAACGTGTCACTTTTTAAAGCATTCGACGTTCTCATTAACAAGAGGCCCATGGGCCACATCGCTCACCTGAGTAACTTTGGTGATGTCGTTCTTTAACAGATTTCCTCCTTTGTAATACCTATTGTGGCCTCGCTGTACCACCCCCTCCCCCAATGTCACAATTTTTTTTTTTTTTTTTTTTTTAATTTATTTTCATAACAAACACACAAATATACAAAACCTTTCACACATCCTTTCATACATGTTGGAAAAGAAGACACTAAGTATATTAACAATAATTAGTCAAGAACATTTTCAAAATTTGACACATTAAATAGACATTTCCAATTGGACCATCTTTTTTTATAAAAAATATTTTCTGACAGCTTTTCTTCTAAAGTATAGTAATTATATAAAACTCTCAAAATATCTTTGAAAACAATACAAGAGTTGTTTCTGGATTTTTCTTCACTAACAGAATAATCAAGTTTATAGCTACATGATCTTTTTCAAAACTACCAAAAATAACAGTCTTTACATCAAATTCAATTCTTTTACCAGACTTTTGAAAAATCCAATCTGACAGTGCCAGCCAAACCACAGAAACTTGTGGACAGTAAAAAAATAAATGTTTAA